AATTTGAGATGAAGTCTCACTATGTTGTCCAGGCTGGTCCTGGGCTCAAGCAAGCCTCCCAAAGAGTGAGTCACTGCACCTAGCGTTTTTGTTTTTGTTTTTTTTTTAAGTGACAATTTCTCGCTCTGCCACCCAGGCTGGAGTGCAGTGGTATGATCATAGTTCACTGCAGCCTTGAACTTCTGGGTTCAAGGGATCCTCCTGCCTTGGCCTCCCAAGTAGTTGGGACTACAAGCATGCACTACTACTCTTGGCTTTTCTTTTTTTCTTTTTTTTTTTTTTTGAGAGATGGGGGGGGGTCTCCCTATGTTGTCCTAGCTGGTTTTGAACTCCTGGCCTCAAGAGATTCTCCTGCCTTAGCCTCCCAAAGTGCCGGGATTACAGGCATGAGTGACTGCATCTGGCCCAATTAAATTCTTGCTACAGGGATAGACTGCTTATCTGGACTCAGACTGACACAGTCCATATGGGAGGGCAGCTGAACAAAAGCTGTAGCTCAAGTCTCCTGATTCAAGTGTCAATGTCTTCCCACTGCCCTACTCTTGACAGGAAGGGAACATCAGAGGAAACAGGCTCCCTTCTGGCCAACTAGGAGGGCAATGCTCTGATCTACATTGCACAGTATTTTACAGGAATGTTAAAAAATATGTTGTTCACCAGGAGTTCAAGACCAGCCTGGCCAACATGGCAAAATCCTGTCTCTACAAAAAATACAAAAATTAGATGGACGTGTTGGCACACACTTGTAATCCCAGTTACTAGGGAGGCTGAGACATGAGAATCTCTTAAACCCAAGAGGCAGAAATATATGTGTGTGTGTGTGTGTGTGTGTGTGTATGAAATATATAAATATATTTCATATATTTTCTAGGAAAGTCATCTTATATGCATGGGCGTCTTCCTTTCGTGTTAATACAGTACATTATCTATTGGAACATCAACCCTTCCTCACTGATATCCTTACTCCTCCCATATGTTCTGTTAGACCAGGTGGCAGGTAAGTCTTAGAAAACTGAAGTGACTTCAGGAAGACCCAGCAGAGCAGGAGATAAGTGAACAAGAACCAGGGCTGTGGCTGGGGCGAGGACTCCTGCTGATGTGGTCAGTGTGGTGCCAAAGATAGAAGATAGGATGGCTTCACCCCCAGAGCAAACCATGGGTCATGAAATCCTGTGGTATCTGAGAGGGATGAGAGGTTTGCCAGCTTCCCAAGGCCATAAGGCTGAAAAGTGACAGAAGAGGGACAGAGAAAAGTTCTTGGCAGTCTCCACAAGTTGGTACAAGGACCAAGCTGGAGCTGGGGCCACAGACAAGGGAAGAGAGCTCCTCACCCAGTCATGAGAGCCATCTGCCAGTCCAGGACAGCAGGGCAGCATTTCTTGGTCTTTGACCTGCCATGGGCTTATGAGACAAAAATGAGAGCGCAGCCAGCATCCTCTGCCACAAAAGACCTTTAATGGCTTCCTATTTATTATTCTTTTGTTCATTTGTTAGAGTTGAATAAACTATAATAATTTGTCTGACATAAGAATGCCACAGGTATAACAGATAAACCTGGCAGGTGGTCCAGGAATGAGAGTGTCACAAAATAATCACTCGACACAAGGGCCACAGAGCTGCAGATTCTTCCCAGCCATCCCTCACTCCTGCCCCAGGACACAATCCATGCAGGCCCCCATTCCATAGGAAGAGGCAGGTCCCACAGCGTCTGTGGCTAGACCTTAACACGGAGCAGAGATGCCCGGGAAGACGGCACTTCCTATGCTCGTTCCCAAGTGCTCTCCTCATCTGCCATGCAGGTCAGGACCACACCCCGAGTTTGTGAGGCACCCACTTCTTATACCCACCACCTCATATGACCACCTATCATACCCAACTCTCCTATGACCCTTGCAATTGTCCCAGTGAGGTGGGAAGAGCCTGGCACTAGCCTCATTTTACACACAGGGAAACTAAGGACACACTCGGACCTAATGTAATACACCCATGTCATGCGCTTGCTGTGCCCTGAGCTTCACATTTTCACCTAGAATTCCTTGCGGGGTGGGGGTGGGGGACAGGGCAGGCAGGACTTTGTACCACGGGCTGATCCATGTCTCACTAAAGTGTACAGGATTCCTGGGGGAATCCTGCCCTCAAAGGAGGGATTTTGTCATAAAATCCTCTCCCTGAGTCTGTCTTTTATGTGAGCCAAGATTTCCATCCATCTGGCTCTGTGTAAAGATGAATTTAACCCTAGGCTCTCTCTCCATCACACTGCTTCTCCTGCTGTCCCTTGGGCCTGGGCCAGGAAAGTGGGGTGCCAGACAGGGGTGCAGACACAAGTCCTAGGTGGGGGATTGAGCCTCTTTCCTTGCTGCAGAGCTCCCCATGCCTCATGGGCCAATATCAGGGTCAAGACCCATCCCCACTGAGCACCAGGTCCCTGTTCAAATCAAATCTTGGCCAGAGCTTCAGGGTGGGTTGGCTAGAAAAAACATCAACTGGCCGGGCGCGGTGGCTCAAGCCTGTAATCCCAGCACTTTGGGAGGCCGAGACGGGCGGATCACAAGGTCAGGAGATCGAGACCATCCTGTCTGACATAAGAATGCCACAGGTATAACAGATAAACCTGGCAGGTGGTCCAGGAAATGAGAGTGTCACAAAATAATCACTCGACACAAGGGCCACAGAGCTGCAGATTCTTTCCAGCCATCCCTCACTCCTGCCCCAGGACACAATCCATGCAGGCCCCCATTCCATAGGAAGAGGCAGGTCCCACAGCGTCTGTGGCTAGACCTTACAAACAGGTTCTCATTCTTGCTGCATCATCGTTGGAATGGCTCCAGCATTTGCAGTACAAAGTGTGGATCTTTGTGTTGGGAACCTGACACACACACACACAACACACATACATAGTTGATGTTTTTTCTTTTTTTTTTTTTTTGAGACGGAGTCTCGCTCTGTCGCCCAGGGCTGGATTGCAGGGCCGGGAATCGTCGGTCACTACAAGCTGCCGCCCCACGGGTTTCGCCATTCTCCTGCCCTCAGCATTCCCGAGTAGCTGGGACTAAGCGCCGCCACCACCGTCGCCCGGTAGTTTTGTTTGTATTTTTATAGAGACGGATTTGCACCCGTTTACCAGATTCCGCCGATCTCCGACCTTTGGGATCCCCCGTCTGCGCCCTCCCAAAGCAGTGCTGGAGAGCCCGCCCGCAGTTGAGGGCCGTGAGCCAACCCCACCCTGAGCTCTGCCAAGATTGATTAACAGGACCTTGTCTCATGATTCTGACCGCATATTTCCCAAATGAGGTGGCCAAAATGGGGAGTCCCCAGCCAAAAGGAAAGAGCTTCAATCCCCACGTAAGACTTGTGTCTGCACCCCTGTCTGGGCACCCCCCCACTTCTCCCCCCACCCAAGACACAAAGCAGTGATAAGAGAGGCCTAAGTAATTATCCTTTACACCAAGCCAGATGATGGAAATTGCTCAATAAAAAAGACGACTCCAGGAGATTTGTGTTATTACAAAATGCCGCCCTTTGAGGCCAAATTCCAGGAACCTTACACGTGAGACATGGATCACCCGGGTACAAAAATGTCCCTGCCTGCCCTGGTCCCCCACCCCCAACCCGCAAAATGGCTGTAGGTGAGAAAATGTGACGTCAGGGCACAGCAACGCATGACATGTGTTATTACATTAGTCGATGTCCTTAGTTTCCCCTGTGTGTAAAATGAGGCTAGTGCCAGGCTCTTCCCATCCTCTACTGGGACGAATTGCAAGGTCATAGAATGGTATGTAGGTGGTCAGTATGAGGTGGGTGCGTGGGTATAAGAA